AAAAGATGTAACTTGTAATAAAATAATCAATATTATATGATCTTCCTTACTGTAAAAGCTGTAACTTGTAATAAATAATCAATATTATATAATCTTCCTCACTGTAAAAGATGTAACTTGTAATAAAATAATCAATATTATATGATCTTCCTTTCTATAAAAGCTGTAACTTGTAATAAAATAATCAATATTATATGATCTTCCTTTCTATAAAAGCTGTAACTTGTAATAAAATAATCAATATTATATAATATTCCTTTCTGTAAAAGCTGTAACTTGTAATAAATAATCAATATTATATAATCTTCCTTACTGTAAAAGCTGTAACTTGTGATAAAATAATCAATATTATATAATCTTCCTTACTGTAAAAGCTGTAACTTGTAATAAAATAATCACTATTGCAATCACCATGCAATGAATCTCGAATTTTGAAGTGATAAGCTAGACAGGAGCCAGTTAGTTTACGATGCTCAATTAACTCTTGGACTATTGTTTGACCAAATAGTGAGGCTTGACCATCACTTGTGTAGTGCATCCACAGTCCTTAAGTATACATGTACATTTTTTTTAGCCTGGGGGCAAAAAAGTTTCAGCTGACTACACATCTGTAAAACTCTAGTTTTTAATTTGATACAAAATCAATGAACATTTGAAGTTTTATGTATTTTGAAGATATATTTCTTGTTTGTTATAAAAACTAATACGAAGTGTTACAAGTTGCTACACAACGTGACTACAGCCACTAGCTAGCACTATGCTATGATCCATCTCCTATACAGCTAATAACTCGTGTCCAAGGAGAAAGTTCTTGTATCCAAAACAAAAACTAATAATCCAACTGGCTGAAAAAATGAGAATATGGAGTCTTTATAACGTACAGGGTTGAGGAAAAAAACATCCAATGAATAAACCAGTTGTATTATTGATTTCTCTGAGTTCATAACATGAAAGTGTTGAATAGTAGGTAATCAAATAAGTAACGTGAATTATGCTTCTCAGAGTTCAGAAATTTGGGAAATAAAGCAAAATTGATACTTGGTGTGTTTTTTTTTTTTTGAGGAGGGGGGGGGGGTTGTTCAGATATTATTTGTTTTAACCATTATATCTGGACACAGAAAATCAATGTAAGAACATGCAATGGTATCAAGAAAGCTTGCTGATAAATTCTTCATTTTGTTCAACAAACTTTGTTCGTAGAAATGATCTGTACTTGGACTTTTTTATTTTAGATAAAAACCCAATTTAGGGTTACAACTTCAGCAATTTTTTTTCTCAGTTCTTATTTTCATGCTATATACGAAATAAAACTTCAAAATCATCACATTTTTTTTCTTCTGTACTTTTATTTTGAGTATGGCTTCAGCAGGGAGAAAAAGTTTTAAAAGCATGGTGCACAAACGGCTTCAAAACCATTAGGCTGGAAATGGATACACAAGATCTTAATCATGTAAAATTTACTAATTATTAAAGAATGATAGTTTCAAGTTTCGATATCCAATGTTCTTACTTATTTTCAACCTGATGAAACTGTTACTACAATATATCGAGCTTCAAAGTACTTTTTTTCTCGTGTTACATCAAAAGAATCTTCTAGCATCTGAATTGTCGCTATCTGATGTCTGAATATTTAATATGGACTTACTCAGTACACATTAATAAAAATCAAAGTACTTTTATGTAAGTTCAAAATAAAATGCAGTTGTATTTATGAAACACTTTGACCCATGACTTTAAAAAGTTAAACAGGTCAAGGAATTTATAGATAGCACCTGTTATATTCTTTCAATACCAAAAAAAAAAATCCATTAATCCAAGCTTGAAATATCCTGTCCACAAGATTGGGACAAATAAATATGCCCTGGTCGGCTTTGTAGTGGTGACATAATTACAGTTGGACAACCAGTAACTTTGGTAAAAATGAATTTAACACTCATCAAAGTAAAATGTTATATGAAAGTTCACTGTTGGTTATTATTACAGAACACGTAAGTTATATCTACTGCAATATCATTAACCTTCTCATTTACATCAAAACTTGTTTTACTAGACACTTTTCATAGCTGAAACAAGTCAGTTATAATTTGATCAGACTGTATTAATCGCACAAAATAAATGTGATAATATAAACTGTTCACTTTATTTTCAGAATATTCTGATAAAATGCACAACTAGAAATATTTATACACACAAGCCGAACTCTTACATTACTGTATAAATTATGCACAAATGACGATAGCATGTACTAACACTACATCTATAAACATAGTTCTGTTTGTAACAGGAGGGCCATCACCTAAACACTTCACATCCTATACTGTGCTTAAACATAAATAACAAGCTTAAGGGTACCAGCAACGCTTTTTTTTTTATTTATAGATAAAAACACTTTCTTCAATATTACATATTTTACAATTTGAAGAAAATAAAAAAAAAAGGGGGTAACACTTCCTCTAAAGATGAGTTTGTTTTTCTGGCAGTTTGATACCTGGAATTCAAACATTCACATTCACCCAAACATACAAGTAGTTACATATTTTGACTTTTTTTAAAAACTTCAATTTATTATAAACATAACAAAAAATTTCACTGAACTTAAAAAATTAAGTCGTTTTTCAAGGTTTAATAATAAAAGCAAATACACCCATGCCAGAGAAATGTTAAAATAATGTACATAAATGTTTTAGATAAAAGCCACAAGTTTTAAATTCATTATTTAAAACCTAAACCATACAGCAACAGCTTGGTGTGTCACAAATTCAATTTAAAAAAAAAAAGGTACTACCACCTAAAGCATGACAAAATATATATATGTATAATATTACTTTCACAACTTTTTTTATATACAAAATCACCGTACTGATCACTGGATAAAGTAGCCTTATGCACAATGAATATCTTGTTTAACAGTATAAAAATTTAACAACCATTCCCTTACTGCTGGACTTTCCAAACCTATTTTTTTTTATAACCCAAATCAAAACTTGCAATATTATTCTCCATAGTATCGATTCCAATCAGATTTTAATTATAAATCAAAATACAGTATTTCTATCCTTTTTCTAGAAGTCGTGTTCTTCAAAATATAATGCAATTTTTAAGACTTTTTTTTTTTTCCCCCCGTAAAATGTTAGTGTTCTAATAATACCATACCGAAGTAAAAAATGTCAGAAAGATAGAACGTTAAGGCGACTGCCCAACGTTGCTTTTGGCTACACCATATTATCAAGCAGTTTTGAAAGAACTGTTAAATATGTAAATTTAATTACATTTTTATTCTTGATGATGCAATAGTAGTATTTCTGGACATGATGAACAATAAAAGGAAAACTTCAGCACAACACAGAACTAAAGAAAAATGTTCTTAAATGTGGAATTAAAAGTTGTACAGTTAAAGAGGAGATACAACTTGTCAATTCTAAATATTGCTCGGTAAACTATAACCGCATCTATATATGCAACCAGATTTCCCTCTTTTTTTCTCCAGTTCTACTCTGAGTTACTAATTAATCGTGTTTTAAACATCACTCAGACGTTTATGGTATCAAATTTCCATGGCAAAAAAAAAAAGAAGTGAGAGAGAGTTTCTATTACAATTAGTTACTACACTGAAAATTTGAAAACTTTTGCTTGTATCGATGCACTGTAATAACATTTGCTTTCTAACTGAAAACCCAAGAAACGTTTCTACAACACTAAACCTTTATGGCACTTACGTTATATTTTGTAATAATCGAGGTTTTTTAAGAAGAATTACACAAAAAACTTATCTCTAGATATGTTTGTTTTGAAGTTCTTGTATACTTATTTTCTGAAAAATTTTTAGGATATAATATATATAAAACTAAACTGTGATACATGCACTTTTTCTTATATAAATGAAACCATTTTTCAGTTAAATAGTTCTTCAAAAATACTGATCAACTATTACTGACCTACCTCGTGCGTACTGTAAACCGATCAACTATTACTGACCTACCTCGTGCATATTGTAAACTGATCAACTATTACTGACCTACCTCGTGCCTACTGTAAACTGATCAACTATTACTGACCTACCTCGTGCCTACTGTAAACTGATCAACTATTACTGACCAACCTCGTACATACTGTAAACTGATCAACTATTACTGACCAACCTCGTACATATTGTATACTGATAATAAAGAGACATTAAAATTATAAATAACACAATATTTCCCCATACAAGAGAGACTGACCACCCTACGAATTGGAAAGCAACCCAAATGATATATAAAACTGAAAATTACATAAAAATTGTTGAAAGTTATAATATCAAAATTGTACTGAACTTCGACACTTCTGAAAGGTTACTTCAAACTGAACTGTTTTCTAATCATGTGTGTCTTCATGGGAATTTCATAATCGGGTATTATCTAACCTGTGCAGGTAAGTTTCTTCTCGGAGGCACTGAAGAATCAACATGAAGTGTTGAAACTAATTTCCTAATTTTTATGCTAATTTTTTTTCAAAAATGTGACCTACCTCAGATGTGGTGAAGATGTAAAAGATCAAGTATACTGTAAACCGATTAAGTATTACTGATTTATTTCAAGTGTAATGTAAACCGATTAAGTATTACTGATTTACTTCAAGTGTAATGTAAACTGATAAGTATTAATGATGTACTTAAAGTGTACTGTAAACCGATTAAGTATTACTGATTTACTTAAAGCATACTGTAAACTGATAAGTATTAATGATGTACTTAAAGTGTACTGTAAGCCGATTAAGTATTACTGATTTACTTCAAGTGTAATGTAAACCGATTAAGTATTACTGACCTAATTGATCAAGTACTACAGATCTCTGATGTTGTGCAAACTTAACTAATCAAGTACTACAGTTCTACCTGTGATGCGGTACAAGCATAACTGCTCTACCTTAGGTGTAGTACAAACTTCACAGATCTATCTCAGGTGCAATACAAACTTTACTCATCTGTCATTAATGTAGTATAAACTTTACTGACCTATCTCAGGTATAGTATAAACTTTACTGATCTATCTCAGGTGTAGTACAAACGTTACTTATCTATCTCAGGTGTAGTACAAACTTCACAGATCTATCTCAGGTGCAATACAAGCTTTACTCATCTGTCATTAATGTAGTATAAACTTTACTGACCTATCTCAGGTATAGTATAAACTTTACTGATCTATCTCAGGTGTAGTACAAACGTTACTTATCTATCTCAGGTGTAGTACAAACTTTACTGATCTACCAATACTATTTTCTAGTATCCATAACGAAACATTCAAGCATACATGTGGAGAATCTTTGTCTTACAATAAAAAACAAACAATGGTGATTGTCTATTTTTAAATACTCAGCCAATAATAGTTCTGGTTTGAAACCTTTTAAAGTGTGCACACAATCAATCAAACAAACTTATGAACATAAAGACAAATAAGGATGTTACAGAACAGAAAATGATGCATACACTGTTAAAATAATCAAAATTTTTATAGTTTAGATAAGAAATAATTCAAAATTGTTTGTATTGTTGTTAAGATAAAACCTACACGATAAGCTTTCTCTGCTCTGGCCACTGGAGGGCTCTCTTCACCAGAGTTATTGGTTTGATTTTTGTTAAGCACAAAACTACTCAATGGGCTATCTGTGCTACGCTCACCACGGGTAACGAAACCTGATTTTTAACATTATAGGCCCTCAGACTCCATTCAATTTCCAGTAATAATTTGTATATGCACGTAAAACTATTTGGTACTATTAAACACCAGGATGCACAACATCAATGTGTCCATCCGTTAACAGTGAGTAGGATAAACATTGAAAATGATGAAAATATATTTTTTTTTTTTACCAAACTTTCATTTTAATAAGCTGGCTATGTTAGTTTTAATCCTTAACCAAAGGGTAATAGAAGGAAAAATTGGGATTTTGATCCTTCCAGGAATCTCGCTGGAACTTATGCACCTTTACCATCAGTGATATAACATAATACTGATACGATGAGCTAAAGGGGTTCAATTTGTTATATCAATGTACAAAAAATTCATTCCTTTTTCACATTTGCTTCCGATAATTTAAAAAACAAAAACGATACAAAGAACACTTTAACTGTTGTCACTTTCATACCCACCATACAAGATGTACTAGTTTTATACTTACAAACAAAACATTTTTATACTGGCAGAAACAAAAATAAACTGAAAATCTTAATATTAAACATTTATCCAACATTTTCAAGAATAAATCTTGCAGTTTAATCACGTGCTTTCCTAACAAAAAATACAAGTGGATTCACACCACATAAATAAATCAAATATTAGTGGTGAGAACTGGCTTACAGGAAACAAGCCCTTAAGTTCTGGATTAAGAGGGAATGAACACTGCAGATAAATAATAAAACTTTTAGTTCAAAACTTGGAAAACACAAACTATATTTCCAGTGTTTTGTTTCTGAGGTAAATATATTTCCAAACGGAACTGTACAATGTAAAATATAGTTTGGGAATTTTCTGAAAGTTGTACTAAAAAATTACATTGTTCATGTTTGGTACGTGTTTGTTACCAGTCAACATTTTATTATATTAGCATTTGGAAAATAACAAAATATTAGCGAAACAAATATGGCTAAGAACTTGTGCGTTGAATAAATTTTTATTTTCTGTACCTGAAACAAAAAAAAAAAATTTCTGATAAACCCATTATAAATTATTATTACAATCTACACATCAGGTTTTACAGGAATTTGCAAATGCCAGCATTTTAACTCCCTAATAGCTACCGAGCTTCACAAAAGTTGTTGTTGACATGGTACCACATCAAAACGTAAAATTACAGCACAATTGGGATCCCAACCTGTGAAAAAATACACCTAACTATAGCTTCTCCAGAGCAAAAAAAAAAAGACAATTAATTAAGAAATTCCCAGAGAAAAATCTTCATTACACTCCTGGCTGTACAAATGGTATAGTTCAATGAGACTGTACATTAAAAATTGTATGGAGACAGCTCTTACTGTCATCTCCGCCACTCGCACTCGTTCCACATCTCCACTACTTCAGTGAACATCTGAAATATAATAGATACTGAGTAAACAAAACAAGGAAGTCAAGCAAAAATATTATTAATGAAAAATAAGAAAGAATATTGATATTTTTTTTTCTGAAACACTTACAACCCATTATAAATTATGGCTCTTTGGACTTGATAATTGATTATATTAACCTTATACGTAACTATACAGTGAAAAGTAGTAATGATATAACTGTCTTCATGAAATAAGAAATCAAACATCTAAATGTTCATTAGTAAAAGATGCCCACGGAGGATTACTTAACCAAAACACTAATGGTCTAATTCTTTTCCTATAACAAATTTGTGTATTGAAAAAATAATAATGTTACACACACACACATACACAAGAGAGAAAAAACCTGAAAAATTTACAAAGTGAAATAAGAAAACCTAAACACAAAATTATAATTATGGATTTTTTTGTATTCAAAATGCGTGAACATGAAAAAACATTTACATGATACCAAATAAAGTACTGATTCTAATATTATATATAAATATCTTATCCTTGTGACCTAAAAGAAAGTACTGATTCTTAGAATATATATAAATATCTTATCCTGCTGACCTAAAAAAAGTACTGATTCTAAGAATATATATAAATATCTTATCCTGCTGACCTAAAAAAAGTACTGATTCTAAGAATATATATAAATATCTTATCCTGCTGACCTAAAAGAAAGTACTGATTCTTAGAATATATATAAATATCTTATCCTACTGACCTAAAAGAAAGTACTGATTCTAAGAATATATATAAATATCTTATCCTGTGACCTAAAAGAAAGTACTGATTCTAAGAATATATATAAATATCTTATCCTGCTGACCTAAAAGAAAGTACTGATTCTAGAATATATATAAATATCTTATCCTCTGACCTAAAAGAAAGTACTGATTCTAAGAATACATATAAATATCTTACCCTGCTGACCCAAGAATTATCTTCTAGACATTCCTCCAGAATAAGGTGAGATTCCTTATTATCATCACCCCCACGTACAGCACTGACCTACGTGTCAAAAAATAATACTTTCTCAAATTATTTTCGTATCTATTAACTTGGAATTCTTCCATAATTCGTTATAAAATTAAAAAAAATAAAATTGGAAGCAACTGGTTTAAATGAATTTCTTATATTCTACGAAAGCTAATGTATGATTTTATTTTTTCTTCACAGTTTTCTCTGACACAAACAGAAATGGTCTGTAAGTATGACTTACATCATCACTCAAGTAAAGCCCGCTGAGATACCTACTTTTCAATTACTATTGATATTAAGTTAAAACAAACAAGAAACTTCAATTCATGTCACATAACTACACACTGTTTAACGAACTGTACAACTGTCCTGCTGAAATACAAATATATTAACAATGGAAAAAAAAAGAGGTAAAAAAAATAAATAAACGTGAAGCTGGTGGTTTGGTTTCTCTAGACTTAACATCACTAAAAATATAGATAATAATGATTTTTAATCTCATGTTGTTGTTTAACAATCTCAAAAAAGTATAGTAACTTTATTATTATTTAAAAAAATAACATTAGTGATTCATCTTATTCTCAAAGCGAAAATATAAACTATTGGAAATAATTTTGATAAAAGTGAGGAAAAAAGGGTATACATGGCAAACACTACAGGAAAGTCAGCCCTCTAGTGTTTGAAAATTAACAGTCACATTCTGATAGTTTACACTGAAATTAGTTGTCATCCAACCAGTCAGATACTGCAACAGCAGTACAAAGCCTATAATAATTACAGGCAATCAATATAAGTTTTGAGCTACATCTCAGTCAACAGTATCAGGGATATATACAAAACTGATGGCACCATGACTGTTGATAAGCTAAGGCAGATTCTGATCCATCGTGTCATTTTCTGAGGAACACAACTCATCGGATGGAGATTCATCTTACTGCAAGACAATGATCCCAACAGAATACTTACAGCAGTAACTGGACATGCACAAGGTTCTGATGTGAGTGAAAAGTCCTGAGGATGTAGAGACTTGTGTAACAACTGAGAAGGTCAAAAGACAACCAAACAACTTGGCTGAGCTGCTCGAACTAGCACAAGGCATTTGGAACAACAATAATCCTCAATTGTATGTCAGCATGAAAACAGTATATACTGCTCTATGTAAAACAAGAGTTCACAAATGAAATACTAGTACACTATATAGAATATTTTTTTATATTTTCTTTGATCACTTTTCATTTAAATTCATCATCTAGTCACTATTACTTACTGCTTGTGTTATTACAGATTTATTTTATTTTGATCAAAGGTAAAAATTACAAATATAGAGGTATAATATTTTTATTGATACTCTACGCCCTCTACAGTGGACTGCAGTTTCACCTACTTTACACCCAACAGGGTGCATATTTCCAAGTTAAACAACAGCTACGTACGTTGTTTGGTAATGTAAGAGTTTTTAAAACCCGTTTATTTTCGTGAGTGGATGAAAGAGTCAGAGTTAAATATCACTTTACAAAGGCTAAAACCACATCATCCGTTCTCGTGTTATAATAACATGGTACACAGTAATGCCTGCAAATAAGAACAAAACAAAAGCCTTGGCTATACATAGCCATATATATATGCCACTCAACTTGCATCCCTCACACTTTTCACTATTTAACCCTTTTCCTGCATAGTTCCGATATATCCAAATGAACATTTATACTCACTGACTGCAAAACTCCTATTTACCCCATAGCTACCAAGGAAAAGTTTCTCACTACTGTGACATGTTGCCATCTGTGATCTAAGCCATGAAACCTGGATGTTTATATGCCTCATTACAAAACTGCCAACTTTGCAGGAACACATACAGTATCTATATGAAGATAGCTTCTATATATCTTGCTGACTTAGTTTTGCCGATATTTATGCCGTACACTCAATTTTTTTGTTTAAGTCATTAACTGAGCAGTGAAAGGGATAATATAGCAGTTCGTACCTTCAATCGACACTTCAGGAAGAAATTGTACTTCTGATGGTGGAGTCGGCTGAAAAGCGTAACTTTCTGGGAGCAGGAGGTACACACAGAAAACTGGGTAACTTTGGGCTTGGTGTTATCTGGATTAATTCGGTGACCAAGAGTAGTTTGATCGTAGACCTGTCCGTAGAACTGCACCAGTTGGTCGCTCGATACGTTTTGGCAGACCTTTGAAAGCAACACAACTTTTATAACAACACAGATATCTCAAGAAAAACAACCAAACACAAAAGAGTGAACATACTGAAACATGTGTTAAAATTAAACTTTAATCAATCAGCCAAATCTTTGAGGGGGGTGGGGACTACAGCTACTACCTTTTATTTGGAATCCATGAAAAATTTTCAATAGATTAAATGTTAATTACTGTTATACTTATGTTGCTTTTTTTTATTCAAGCAAAAGCTGCATAATGGGCTACTTGTGCTGTGCCAACCACAAGGATCAAACCCCAAATTATAGTATTACAAGTCCTCAAACTTGCATCTGAGCCACCAGGGGCCACTGGTATTTCAAGACTTAACTCATACCAGAATGATTCAAGTCCTCTCTCAACAAACACATTTTCCTGAGAAATAAGCTTTATAAGTTAGATTTTCATATGTACCCTAATTCAATAATACTTAAAAAATTAGATACACTAACGTTTGAGTTTTGAATTTTTAATTATGAATGCATAATACAATGATAATAAATAAAAAAACCCACAGAAAATGGGTCATTTCCTCTCAATTCAACCAATATTTCAATATCTTCCAGCTTAAGCACCTCAATTTCTGTTCAATCTTACATGGGGGCGGGGTGGAGTAATATGTTATCTCTTCCTTTTATCACTTGCTTGAAGTTACAACTAAGTTCAGGTTATTTTCGTGTCCATTATTGTGTCTTCTAGATTCCTAACACATAAATTAATAAAATCCTTTTACAGTATAGGGTCAGGATCTGGAGGTTAAGAGGTAATGTATTTTATTTAAAAATGAATAAGGTGCAAACTCGGACATGTGTTTGATCTTAAACATAAAAGTATTTAAAAATTGGTTCAAATCAGATGATGATAAAAATTTGTCGGATCACGTATAAACGTCAATTCTAATGGATAAAAATTTGTCGGATCACGTATAAACGTCAACTCTAATGGATAAAAATTTGTCAGATCACGTATAAATGTCAACTCTAATGGATAAAAATTTGTCGGATCACGTATAAACGTCAATTCTAATGGACAAAAATTTGTCGGATCACGTATAAACATCAACTCTAATGGATAAAAATTTGTCGGATCACGTATAAACATCAACTCTAATGGATAACAATTTGTCGGATCACGTATAAACATCAACTCTAATGGATAACAATTTGTCGGATCACGTATAAACGTCAACTCTAATGGATAAAAATTTGTCGGATCACGTATAAACGTCAACTCTAATGGATTACAATTTGTCGGATCACGTATAAACATCAACTCTAATGGATAAAAATGTGTCAGATC